GCCAACGCCCGGCGAGGAGGTCTTGAGGAGGGGCGTCCAGAGCTTGATTTCATTCACGTCATCGCATCCTCCCGGTCCCGCATGGGGTTCCGCGAGGTCGACCTTGTACCCCTCGTTGTACTGCCGGGTGAGCTCTGGTTTCTCCTTGTCACCGTGCACGACCGGCGCGTTGGCCGGGGCGCGCATCGCGTCCGCCCAGGCGGCGAGGACGCCGTCGTGGGGCCGCCGGTGGTGGGCCTTGTTGTAAAGGTAGTCGCCGAAGAAATCGACTGGCATGCCCCGCTCGAGCGCGACCCGAAGGGTGGGATTCTGTGGTGAGCTCTGTGTCTTGATTTGCCAACAATAAACCTAAAACTGTGCTATTTCGGGGCCCGGGGTTGTGTGTGAGCTTCGAGGGACCTCTCGGCCCAGAGCGGTGGTTGAGGCCGATTGCCTCAACTGTCAACCACGTGGTTGACAGAGGCCTCAACCCTCAACCAAGTGGTTGACAGACCCCTGTTCAACCCCTCAACCACGCGGAATGGCTGTCCACACACACACCCGCGCAAAGGTCGATCTGAACACATTCTCTGTGAACCATTCATGTCGTCTTCTTTAGACGCCTGGATGCTGCATTTGACGCACCGTGAATGGGAGGTGTGATGCAAAGCCCGGAGGAGCGCTGACAGCCATCGAAGGCCCCCGCGCGGGGGGGGGACCCCCGGCCGACGTCATGGTCGTCCGCGGACGCGGCCCTCCGTCTCCGGAGACATTACCGAACTCAAAACTGCTTACCAAAGGCAGATACGAGCTCAGCTCAGTGAGATCTAGCAGCACATACCCTCAGTATCCAGAATAGTAAAGTCTGAAAAAGTCGGTCCGACCGCACACTAATGTGCGCGCAGGGCGGTCTGGCTGTCTGCAGAGCTTCCGTCCGGGCCCTGAGAAATGTCGGAGGCATGTGAGTCGGCCCATGTTCGCGCGATTTTGATGGCGTTGCCCTTATTGCACGTGAAACAGACCGCGCCGGCCACGCACCCTTGTTCCCGGAGGCCAACTCGAACAGGTTTGAGCAATGTCCGCCTTCCATGCTCTCGATCCATGCTCGACACGTCCGCCCGCCATCAAGTTGTACGTTGAGTGGCAAAATGCAGCAGGAACTTAGTTGCCTCGAAGGCCGCCTGCTCGAAGGCCGCCCTGCTCTCGGCATTGTGTTGTTGACTGAGAGCACTGTCTGATCCAACCAGAAAGAGCCGTCGAAGAGCTGTCGAGCTACATGAGACCCAAGTCGTCGTGATGTACCAGGAAACGAAACTAGCGCCAAAATTGAGATCTCAGGATTGACATTATTCCTCCTCGCGCCTGCTTTCGCTGCTTGAGGCTCGCCAAACAGATCCTGCGTCTATGGCCGTGTGCAACGTCAAGTCGTTAAACCGCAACAAGACCATCGCGCCAACCGCGACTCTGTTGCTTTTATGCGGCAGCATTCACCGTGACTCTTGCCGTGGATGGTTAGTGACCGCAATACTACGCCGTGAGCTGAGCTTCACCAGCCGTTTCTCTTCCTTCCCTTGCCTTCTCTTGCCGTCCGTTCTCTGTGCGCATTCCACTGCATGCGGCATCACACGCGTCTTCTGCCGGGCGCGCATCTGAACTCGTACCTGGTAGGCCATCGCTTTGCTGAAAGATCAGGCGCCTGAATGGCGACAGTGAGCGTCTCCTACTTCTGGATTGCGCTCGAGGTACGAGGAGCGCAAGAGCGCGCCGCAGGCGAAGCGATTTTTTGGCGGCAGGCTGTTCCAGTTTATCTTGTGATCACGCGCGAGCCTGTGAATTCTTGTTTTCTTATCACCCTATCTGTGAATAGGCCCCGGAGGCCTCAACCCTCAACTAAAGGGTTGACGGGGGGTCTCAACCGTCACCAGATGGTTGAGGGGGGGCCTCAACCCTCAACCCCTCAACCACCCCTCTGGGCCCTCTTATGGCGCTGTGCGCCATGTGAACCTCGAGTCCCTGCACTGAGCGGCCAGGACTCATAGACTCGGTCGAGAGACCCCAGATTGGCATCCATGCCTCTCTGGACAGGGTGGCCCGCCACAAGGACCCCAGGAATTGCGACTCGCCGCTTTCCTCCCGCTGTGATTCTGTGGTGAGCTCTGTGTCTCCCGGGGTTGTGGATCAATCTGTGAGAAACGAAACCTCGGTGTTGCCAGGAACGCCCAGAGGCTCACCGCCTCGCTTGGCAACCTTCACACATCCCACTTTCAGGTACAACACGGACGCTCGTTCAGTGAGCTTCGCGTTCACTCTGTGCGAAATGGCGTTCCGGATTCCGACGCAGAACGACGTCCCATCCACCGGCTTCTGGGGCGCCGCGACTGCCGTGCACCAATTCTGCGAACCAAAGTACAAGACCTCTCACTACGTCGCCGAGTTCTACAACTCGCTCTCATCCTTTGTCTACGTCTTTGCCGCCGTGTACGTGCTCTCGCGGCGTGAAGCGCGCGCAGACCCGATGATTGTCATAAATGCACTGGCCGTGACGATTATCGGCCTCGGCTCGGTCGCCTTCCACGGCACGATGCTCTTCGAGTTTGAGCTGTGCGACGAGGTTCCGATGCTCGTCTACATCTCGCTCGCGATGCTCAACAAGTTGGGCTGCCACCCGATGCTCCTCACGCGAGCGCGCTGCGTCGTGTTTGCGAGCCTCGTCGTCAGCGCGTGCGCGCTGACCATCGCCGTCTACGCCAAGTACGCCGTGTACGAGTTCTTTGTCGCCTCGTTCACCGCGCTCGTGCTGCTCGACACGGCGCTCGCGCTGACGTGGCGCAGCAAGCAGCGCGTGACGACCTGGGCAGTCTACATGTCGATGGCATGCATCCTGCTCGGCAAGATCCTGTGGGAGTGCGAGGTCCGCCTCTGCTCGACCGACGGGCGCGTCTGGCCGCTGCACGTGGTCTGGCACGCGCTCTCGTGCGCGGCGGCCTACTACGGCCTGCTCGCCGACATGGCGGCGCGCATCGACTGCGGCCTCTCGCCGGCGGTCGCGGGCGGGGAGACCAAGGTGGCGCTCCGGTGGGCGGCCGTGCCATTCTCCGAGGTGCACGTCGTGTGCGCGGCCGAGGAGGAGGGCAGCAAGGCGCGGTGAGCTTGCGATGTCTGCTCTCTACGTGTACATTTACTCTCGTCTCTCATTCGTCCACATCTCTCTAATAGTAACTCTAACTCTCTCTCACTCTCTCTCTCTCGGTGTTGTAGTAGCCCCTGGTCTTGCTGCCGCCATGTTTGTGGCCCCCTACTACTGAGCAACCCATTTCCTGGCTCGCAACACACATGGACATGCCAAAGATCTACACACACACACCCCACACACACACACACACACACACACACACACACACACACACACACACACAAAACAAAACACACACACACACACACACAATAATACATAGAAGGGGACCACGTCCTCGCCCCGGAGCCACAGCGCACAGGGCCAGCGTCTATGTCTATACCGCCGCGACGTCGGAGCTCGCCATTGGTCGCGCCGACGGCGCCGGTCGCAGCGCAAGCCTTCGGCGCGTCGTAGCGCGTGCCTCAGGGCTGTGCTCGTCGTTCACCGCGAGGTGGCACGAGTAAGAAAAGACGGCGAAACCGCTCAGAGCGAGGAATGCGTTCAGCTCGGGTGGGCCGACGCGGGCGGTGGGCAGCATCAGCCCGACACCGCCCACGAAGAGCAGTGCGGTGCCTACACATAGGGAACGGGCGACGAGTGAGAAGGGACGGAGGGCGGGGGCGGCAAGGGAGAGGTGCGCCGCAGGCCGATCAGAACGTTGGTCATGCCACAGAGGTGTAGGAACTTTCGGCGGTACCGAACTGGCCTCGCCTCTGGCTCCTCGGGCTCAGCGACACACGCCTCTTGCATGCAAATCTCCTGGCGGCACACGCCGCACGTTGGCGGCCCCGCTGACCGGCACGCAAGCTCCTCGAGGCAGCTCCGGTGCGCACGCATCGAGCGGCAGGCGCACACATTGACGAGCATCGGGCCGTCGGAGGAGAGGCAGATGTAGCAGCAGTCGTCCTCCGCGTCCACGTCGTGCTGGTCGGAGCCCTCGTCGGGCCTCTGCACCGAGTGCGGTTCCTTCTCTCGGAGCAGGCTGTGTTGCGCCTGATTCTCTTTGTCGCCGAGCAGCGCCGCTGCCTCTGTGGTCGGCGCAAATCCGCTCGGGTAGAACTCGTCGGGCAGCTTGTTGTGCGTGGCAAGCATAGCGCAGCTAGCGAGCAGGGCAGCAGGCGCGGAGGGGGGGTCGGCCTGCCTCCGCTTCTATCAAACCCGGCGCCCTCCACCCCCCCCCCCCAGTGTGTGTGAGTGTGTGTGTGTAGAGATGCCTTTCGGGGCCCAGAGATAAAACTTCTGATGCCATGCGTGACCTAGTAGTGTCCCCAGCTATGGGCGTGTCCACGCGTTGGAGCCAGGTGTGGTGTGGACGCGAGAATATAGCTCCGCCGTTCAGGGAGGCAACCGATGTGTTTTTCGCGCAGCTGGGCCCCAAGACGACAGCGCCCCCCTTCCCGGGTGCGCGGTGAGCTGCCGTGGGCGTGCTGCGCGTCGGGGAACGCCGGGAGTTGGCAGAGGTGTTGCTCGTAGCTTCAGCTAGCCCCAGAAGAAGCCAGGTTTCCCACAGCGGCGCCGCGCGTGTGCCGCTGCGGGCGTGCGAGCGGGTTGTGCCAGCGCGTCGCTCGCACGGACCGCGGCTGATAACCCTGCATTGTGAAACGCCGAGGGCGGCACACAAGGCACACAGTAGCACAACCGAGCCACGTGGCCGCTCTCATCCCTCCTTCACGGGCTGGAAGGTGCTCACTACCCGTGGCCCGACGCGAGTCGCAAGCGGCGACGGTCGTCGGCGGCGGCGTCTCCAGTGTCGCGTCGCGGCGAGCGGAGACCCAGGCGCGCCGGCGCCGTAGCCCCACGCTGCGAGGGGGCGGTCGATTTACGCTCAAGACACATGTATAGGTCTCTACTCGTCGCGGCGCGACAACTCCTCTACGCACGCCGCCCGCACCTCTGCCGACACCACCACCGCACCCTTAGCCACCGCCTCGGCCTTGGCCTCAGGGAGCCCCCAGGCCTTCTTCTTCTTCCTCCCGTTAGCCGGCCGCGCAGGTGCGACAGCTAGCGGCATGGCGAACCCGGCGTGAAGGATGAGGTGCGACGGGATGCGCACCCGCCCTCCCGCCGCGCCCTCCTCAAAAGGAGTCATCCAGTTGCTCACGCCAGGGACCTTGTTGTAGTACCAGGCGTCGATGACGAGGCTCCCCTTCTCTAGCTGAATCGCCTTGCCGTCTCCGCCCTCAAGCTCCTCGAGCTCCACGTCCGCGTCGAGCCGGTACGCCGGCCCTAGCGCCCGCGCGTAGTAGACCTCGTCCGCCGTCGCAAAGGCGATGTTATCGCCCGCCACCAACCCGCTCACCACCCCGTCGGTCCGCGCCTCGAGCTGCAGCTGCGCGTCCTCCTCGATGAGCTCCTCCGACGCCCCGTCCTTGCTCACTAGCTCACACAGCTTCCAGTCGTTGTCGCGCCCAAAGGCTGCGGCGTGCACGCAGTCGTCGTGCGGCTGATAGCGCGTCGCGATCGGCCGCGCCAGGGCCCGGCGGCAGCCGTCGCAAAGGCACCCGAGCCGCCGCGCGGCAATGACGTACTTCCCGTCCTTCTGCAGGTCGGGGTCCGCCCGGAAGTTGTTGTGGCCGAGCGTGGCTTTGATCCTCGAGTCCTCGCCCTCCTCCGCGTCGGCAGCCAGCGCGGCGGTCATCTCCTTGATGGCGGGCGCGTCACGAATGTCGTGCTCCTCGTAGGTGCGCACGTGCCGCTTGGCGGTGTTCGACTTCTCGCGCCGCTTGGAGTTCATCCCGGCCGGCTTGAGGTCGCCAAAACCCTCACGCGCGCGCTTCGCGCACGCATCTGCGAAGCTGACAGCCTCTCCCTCCCTTGCGTCAGACGAGGCGACGACCGACTCGTCCCCCTCCATGAAGTCCGACCGCATCATCTCGCCGGTGAGCCAGTTCTTAAACACACCCCCGTGCCCGTCCGCCTCGTCCTTGCCGTGCCCCGTGACCTCCAGCATCTGGTCGATGGTCACACGCTTCCCTTTCGCCCGCAGGTCAGCGACTAGCACGCAGAGCAGGTACATGGCTTTGCTGCACTTGTACTGTTTAGCGCACCCGTCCGTCTTGAGCCACACAGTGCCCCCGTCTAGTAGCACATTCGCTTGCAGCAGCTCATCCAGCATGACACGCATGTTGTGCGTCGTCACTTTGGCCTCTTGCGCCTTGTAGTCAGAGCAGTGGTAGTAGATCTGCTTCTCTAGCACACCGAGCGAGTCGAGCTCCTTGCCCCGCTCCTCAGGCGACATGGAGGCGAGCCCGGCCAGCACCGGGTCGTCCGCCGGGATCGTCGCCTTGAACCCCTCAGCCACAGCCACCTCGATAGTGATAGCGGTATTGACCCAATGCTCAGTCTGAATCTGCGTCCTGCGCAGGCGGTTGAGTTTCTCCGAGTAGTCCATGATCAGCGAGAGGTCACCTTTCCGAATGGCCGCCCTGTCTTTGCGCACCATCCAGGTCCACTTTGCCATCTGGTTGTGAAAGCAGAAGTATTGCAGTTTCTCTCGGTACTGCTGCATGAATTCGCCGATAGGCACGGTCTTCTCGACCAGCATCAGCTTCGACGTCTTCTTGCGGTCGCCGGTGGTCTCGTCGACGTACGACGTCTCCACCTCACGTGTCTCATACACCTGGTGTGTGACGCGGTAGGCGGTCGCCGACGTGTCCTCCTCGCGCGGGCTCGTCTTCATCTTGGACACCCCGCAGTGCTTGCAGCGGCCGAGTATGCACCTGAGAGAGAGCGCTTACTGTAATGTGTAGCGGGGTTGGTTTTTTTGCCGGTGGCAGGTGCCCCTCGAGCAAATGTGTCGGAGAGTATCCGCCTAGAGTGTTTCTACTCGTAATAATGTTCGAAGCGATTCGGGTGTGTGGTTTTGGATTTTTAGCGTAAAAACAACAGCTTGGGTCCATCTTCTCTGGCTACAGGCTGTGGGGACAGCGAGAATAGAGTGAGCCACGACCGAAATTGCATCTACGGCGCACGTCAGGCTCGCCGAGCCCGTCGCGTCGCATGGCTGGCACAGCGAGGCAGCGACGGCGTCCTTGGGCGCGGCGTGGTCGTACGCGGCCGTGTAGCCGGCGCCGTGCCGCTTGGCGAGCGACGCGCGCGCCCGGTTCAGGGCCTGGTGCTGGAGCCGGAACTCGATGCAGTACCTAGGAGAAGCACGCAGAAGATTCACGCACGGGCAGGCACGTGGCAGCGCGGCGCGGTGCGCGCGCCGGCAGCCGCACATGTCCAAGTGGCGCTTGGTCATGCGCCGCAGCTCGCGTGGCCTCAGCTTCCGGAAGGCAGCCTCGCCGATGATGACGTTCGGGTTGGCCTTTTTGAAGTCGAGGTACACGTCCGTCAGCGAGACCTCGCTCAACAGCTTGGGCACGAAGATGTCCTCGCCCTGGTCGTCCTTGAATTTCAGCACGTCGGACTTGATGGGCGAGCGCTTGATCGAGGGGTGCGCCACGTAGAACTCGAGCACCATGCGCTTCACCTCGTCACTGTGCCGGTGGCCGAGCAGCGTCCGCGTTGCAAGCCAATACGCCCGCAGCTCGGGGTCATCCAGCTTGCGCCGCCGCTCGAGGGCCGCAACGAGGCGGCGGTGCGTGGTGGACGGCGACATGCCGAGCAGCTCAGCGATCTCGCGCACGCGCGACACCTTGGCGACCGGCACCTCGCCGCCGTCCGCCTTCGCCTTCTTCGCGTGTCGGCCGCGCTGCAGCGCCTCGCCCTCCTCCTCCTGCGCCAGAAAGACGAGCAGGGTGTCGACCGCCTGATGCTCGTCGTTCGTCAGCGACCCGCGCGACCGCTTCCCGTCCGTCGCGAAGATGCCCGCGAGTGACTTGCGCACGCGCCCGAGCAGCTCCTCAGCCAAAGAGACGTCGGACTGCGTTCGCAGGCCGACGGAGGCCGCCGCCTCCGGGTACCTCTTCACGACGGCGTCGAGCACGACGCCCGCCTGGTACGGATCGGCCGGCAAAGAATCGGCGGTCTTGGATACCGCTCGCTGCGAAGCCCGCACGGTCGCCGCGTCGCCTCGCGCCTGGCCGTCGGAGCGCACGCGAAAGGCTTCGTTGCGTTGCTCGATGCTGACCGGTTCGAGCGGCCCAGACTTCGGCAACAGCGCCTCCCGCGCTCGCGCCAGCTCCGCCGCCTTGGCCGCGTGCGCCAGCGACGCCGCCGCCGCCGCCTCAGTCTTCGCCGCCAGTTGCGCCTTCAGCGCGATCACTTCCGCCTGCAGCGCCGCGTTGAGCCGCGACCCGTCGCTGTCGCACGCGCCGCCGCCGCTCCGCCCGCCGCCGCCGCCGCCCGCTGCCGGCCCGCGCTTCGCCCGGCCGCCGGCCGGATCCTTGTCCGGTGCCGTCTCGGCCGGCCGCTTGCTTCCCGCCGCCGCGACCGCCTCCGCCGCCGCCGCGGCCATCTTGGCGGACTGCTTCTCGATCTTGGCTCGCTCTCGCCTCTCGCGCGCCGCCGCCGCCTTCTTCTGCTTCTGATACCTGTCCGGGTCGTTCCCGGACAACGTCTTCCCGGACAACGTCGACATCGCGACCATGGTCGCTAAACTGCACCTGCCGAGGCTCTCTCTTGGACGGCGAAAATTGTGTTTCTTTTTCGGTCCTTCGTAACCGGAAAAGGGGACGTAGCTGCCTCTGCCGGCCCCAGGGCAACCGGCCCTCAAGAGTGGCGGGCGCCGGGCTTCCTTCACCACCGAGGGCAAGCTCTCCAGCGCCGCGCCGGTGCCATGAGCCGCGATGTGGACCGTTCGTGGGCAGCCGTACAGGTACGCGGGCCCTCGCGCGTACCATCTGAAGTAGTGAGGGGGCACACCAGCCGCTGCTCGGCGTCCCCCCGACGCGCCCAGGCCCCTCGCCTGGGTGGTGAAGGAAGGCCAGGCTTGCACTCGTGCCGAGCCTGAGACCCACGCGCGCCTCTTCACGCTTTTTAGTGTTTTGGTGGCTTTTCACACCTACCACTCATTACGTTCACAGCACTCGGGGGGACCGACCCTGCATGGTCGGGCCGGCTCGCTGTGTCCCAGGGGACCCACTCAAAGGGCTGGGGGCGCAGGGAGCCAGGAGGAGGGCCCTGGGGGCGCTACTCGCTCGTTTGTCGCCTCCCTCACTATGGTGGCCCCAGGTGGACGTAAAACACGTCAACCCGATGCGAGTCGACTGCGTGTGTGTCGTCGTGGTTTCGTATCAAGAATACTCACTCACTCACCCCCCCCCCCCACCCCCCCCCGCGCGCGCCATAAGATTTCACGCCTGCGATGACAAATCGCTTGCAGTGCACGTCTCTCAGCGGTGCGGATCTCGCCGCACTCGTTACACGTACAGGGCTGAGGAACCCGATGGTCATGACTTCGCGCGCCCCAAAGAACCGCGGTCTAATCGCTCTGTGTGTGTGGCGTGCTCCATGCACCCCACGAATGGCAAGTGCGGCGGCAGTCTAATCGCGGCTGCTCTCGCGACAACTATGCGCCTCTTAGTCGCGCTCGAAAGCGGCGAGCTCGTCTGGCGTCGGCATGGCGATGCCGTCGAGCCCGAGGTTACCCAGGCAATACCGCGCCTTGATTTGCCCGCAGCAGATGCCAGCCTGCATGCACTCGACGTCCCAGCAGCGCTGCCAGGCGACGCCGCTCTGCAGGTCGACCGTGATCATCGTCTTGTTGGACATGTGCGCCGCGCCCTTGTGGAAGCAGAAACGGGTGCCCCGCGCGGTCAGGTGCAGCAGCCGCTCCGACGGGTTCCCGGCGCGCACGTACGTCCACATCTCGACGCTGCAGCCGGGCGCAGCTCCGGGCCAGCTTGCGAACTTGGCCGCGGCCCAGGCAGCCACCTTGTCCAGCGGCGACGGCGGCGCGCCTTTGCCCTTTCGCGTGGACTCGAGGAAGGGGTGCGGCACCTTTGGCCAGTCGCGCAGTGGGGCGTCCGTCACCTGATCGTACTTGGCGCACCACTCTTTCAAACTAGCGCCATCGGCGTTCCTGCCACCGCCACCGCCGTCACGGCTGCCGCCGCCACCGCCGCCGCCGCCGCCGTCACGGCTGCCGCCGCCACCGCCGCCGCCGTCACGGCTGCCGGCGCCTCCACCGGCGGGCAAGCTTGCGGGGGGGCGACGGGGCGCTGCGGGGGCGTCGCGCGGCAGCTCGAGCGTCGCCCAAGCGCGCGGGCCGTCGGCGAGCGCGCCGCCCGCCGCGGCGCACGGCGCGAGCTCCGGGTTGACGAGGGAGAGGCGCAACTGCGCGGAGAGAGGTAGGGACGAGGGCCGGCTGCCGAGCAGTCCGGGCAGGCTGGTCGCGCCGTCGGACAGCGTGAGCACGGCAGTCGACCCGAGCTTGGACGAGCCCACCAGCCGGAAGGCGCGGTTGCACGAGTAGACCGACTTGTCGACGAAGCATGCCACGCCGCCGCCGCCGCGCCTGTCGACGTCCAGCTGCTGGCCGAGCCGAGCGATCACCGCCTTGGCGACGCGCCCCGCCTGCTCCTGGCTGGCGAGCAGCAGCGGCACGCGCGCCCCGGACGGCAGGAGCAGGTGCGGGCGGAGGATGGCGTGGCGCGACCACTTGTCGACGCGGTGCGAGTCGAGGGCAACCACCTCGACCTCGAGCCTGCCCTCGGCGACGGCGCGCCGGGCCAGCGCGGCGTCGGCGCCGTGCAGCTCGACTGCCTGCTCGGCTTCGGAGAGCGCCTCCTCGAGGATGGCGATGGCCGTATCGACCACGAGGGTGCTCAGCCGCTCGCCGTCGACCGCCAGGTTGAGAGTCGCGCTGCGCACGAACTCGAGGTCAAAGTAGACCCAGCACGGCAGCGCGGCGTCGATCACCTCGTACGCGTTGCGGCTCGCGGGGGGCAAGCCCTCGTACAACGCAGCAAAGACGGGGGCGCTCGCAGCGACGTACGCCTTTGGCGCGCCGCCGCCTCTGCTCGGCAAGTCGAACGCCCACGCACGCGACGCGCCGCTGCGGTCCTCCTTGATCTCGCTGCGGCACGCGTCGAGCCTCTTGTGGATGCTCGCCGACGATCCGCGCGCCGCCTCGGCCCACATGTCTGCGGGGTCGGAGGAGGCCGGCGGCGGCGCCTGCCGCTGTGGCGACGGCTGCGCCCGCTGCTTGCGGCGAGCCGCGAGCTGCTGCCGCGGCTGCACCTCCGCCGCCGCCGCCGCGATGCTCTCGAGCTGGGGCCTGGCTCCAGAGCCGGGGCCGATCTGCGGGTACGGGTGCCCGAGGCCGCACGCAGGACACAGGTCGCAAAACGAGAGCCGGTCCTCGCCGCCGCTCGCTCCTCGTGAGAGCTGGTCGGCGCCGCCGCACGGGCAGTACCAGTCGTTGTGCAACGAGACCTGACAGAAAGGCAGCCCGCCGTCCGCAAAGGCAGCGGCTGCATCCTGGAGCACCCGGGGGCCCTCAATGAAGGCCTCGAAGCAGCGGTTCAAACCCTTGGGCGCGACCGCCACGATCGTTGCCATTGGCAGCAGGTAGCGCAGCTCGCGCTCGAGGGCGGGCGGGTCACAGAGAGGGTGAAGAAACTGGCCGCCGCCAAGCCAGAGCTGCAGCCGCTCCACCGACTGCGGCTGCGGCGGGCGGAAGACGGGGCGCGGCTGCGGCGGCGGCGGCGGGCCGCCGTGCACGCCGCCGCCACCGAACGCGCCGCCGGCGCCGCCGTAGCCGCCTCCGTAGCCGCCGCCGTGCACGCCGCCGCCGCCGAACACGCCGCCCCCGCCGCCGTAGCCGCCTCCGTAGCCGCCGCCGTGCATGCCGCCGCCGCCGAACGCGCCGCCCCCGCCGCCGTAGCCGCCTCCGTAGCCGCCGCCGTGCATGCCGCCGCCGCCGAACGCGCCGCCCCCGCCGCC